CATCATGCGTCTGGATGGGCAGTTTCAACGTTACCAGACCATTTCCGGACCTTACAGCTACAGTGTGTATACTTATTCCTGTAGCCGACTGTACATGATTATATACAATAGATATAAATATATCTTTACAAATAATATATTTATTATTCAACAAATATACAGTAACTCTATACATATATCAATATCCCAGTTTATTTGGTATAATATCGAAGCTGAACAAGGACCACGATCCTGGCTTACTAGCACGCACACACACACACACACACATGCACGCACACGCACGCACGCACGCACACACACACACACACACACACACATAACTAGACACGTAATTTACGATGCAATATACAGTTTAACATAAGGTAGGAGGGTACACAGAGCTAATACAAGGGTTGTGATGTATTGGCCATCATCATTAAGAATTCGGGCAAGACGCGCACCCAGTGCCTTTCATTAGTGTGTGCACCTGCTGTGCTGCCCTGCCAGACCTATCAAGAAGATACGCTTGTTTCTTATTGTTTAAGAGATTCATTGTTTACATAAATATTACTTACACATGAGTCAATTGCATTACCAGACACAAGCCAAAGGAACAGACACTGTTTTACTGACTTGCATTATCTCCGTTACTAAAAATAGACATAAATTTTTAGTACCGTATATTATTTGTTTTAGTCAAGGAGAAAGCAATACAAATATGCTCCTATTTCAAGGCAGTAAGCCAGTAACAGTACAAGAAACATTTCCATTACTAACGTGTACAGTAGATACACACAACATAGTACAGTACACTCTTGTCTATATCAATCGTAAACGTAAAATAATTCCATATTGAAAATTTCCTAACATGTGATCCGTGAAACATATACTACCGGTACAACAAAATACATATCAGGGTTCAGTTTCAGGCAGAAGACAACGAAACTACCTCAGATTTAGCACTAAACTCAAGATACTGGCAAGACTATAGGGTGCGGGGGCGTGGCATAGGGTGTGGTTTGGAGGCCGAAGGAAGGATAGCTGAGACGAGGGTGGTGGGTGGTGGGGCATTGGAAGGGTATGGTGAAGGGGGGGTGAAAGGAAGGAAAAGAAAAATTAGGAAAGGTAGAATCAGAGTGAAGAGAAGAGACAGCAAGGTGAGGAGAGAAGGAAGCAGCAGAATAAGAGACGGAGGAAGAAGAAACTGTGTGTGTAGATAGGAGGAGAGCAGGTGGTACAGGGATGTGAGGGGGAGAAGGAGGGTAGGAGAGAGGACATGTAGGAAGAGGTATATAACAGGAGGGAAGAACGGTGGGGGGGTTGAAAGGTCAGGCCTGATGACCGGATTAGGCCGCCCTGAGCCAGATGGAGGCCGGATGCAGTCATTTGTCACACCTACGCTCATTTAACGCCCCGCTGCTTATACATCTCACCCTGTTTTAAAGACACACACACACACACACACACACACACACACACACACACACACACACACACACACACACACACACACCTGACCTACTTGTGCACACTGAGGGAATTGAGTTTAGGTGTCCATCTTTATCAGTGACAATTTCATCCCTATAATATATACCGTACATATCCAATTAGGTGACATAACCTATAACACATGAAGGTTTTCATTGCTAGATATACCTACACCAAAAATACGGCATTATATATTACCTGTATGCCGCTTCGGTGTCTACCTTTATATAATACTTAAAGTTAACCGAGAGAGGAGGAGAGAAAGTAAAACGAAAGTGAGAAAATAGAGGAATAGAATGAGAAGAGAGAAAAGATAAAATAAGAAATAAAAGAATCATAAGAAACACACACACACACACACACACACACACACACATACTATTAACCTCAAAACAACTGCCTTAGATGAATGAATTATCCAGACAGACAGTCAGACAGTCAGCCATCCTAAGCAACAACACCCACACATGCCTGAGCCAGACACACCCTGGGCGCTGATTGGCCATAATTGCACACTTCAAGTCACTTCCAAAATATCAAGGCTCTAATTCTGGGAGCTGCCGTGCAGTGATTAAGGCAGGAGATCAGTTTATTGCCCAATGAACCACCTCCACGGTTAGTGTAGTGTCCTGCTCTACAAGGGCACCAAGAGAAATAAAAAAAAAAAAAAAAAAAAAATACCGTAAGATTTTTACATACATGGATAAAATCACAAAAATGGTCCAGAAACACATTGACTGAAGTACAGGTAGAAATTAATTATCTTTACTATTTTATCAACTACGAAGGTTGTAGAGAAATTAAATAAATCTGAATTAATTATTGTTTATGATTAGCCCCCAAAGCCTCACTTCCAAATAACCATGATCTTTTGTTTATATATATATATATATATATATATATATATATATATATATATATATATATATATATATATATATATATATATATATATATAGTCTCTATAGGCAAAATATTATGGTGGTAAGATACCGACACCTGAAACCCAAAGTAGTCCAGCATGTTCTACACACCTTTACTGTACTGTACTAATTTCTCCTGAGACATTATTAAATATGCAAGGATCCACACACACACACACACACACACACACACACACACACACACACACACACACACACACACACACACAGAACAGACAGACAGACAGACAGACAGACAGACAGACAGACAGACAGACAGACAGACAGACAGACAGACAGACAGACAGACAGACAGACAGACACACACACACACACACACACACAGTTTCTGGGTATAATCAATATAACAGGGAGCAGAACACAGGACACATGACCTCAATAGCGTTAACTCCTTTTATGATGTGTGTCAAGGCATAACAATACTGTACACAACTTCCCCTTATATATTTGACTTTACGTTTAAGTTTAAAAGCGCTTTTAACTTGTCGAAGATCCCCAAAGTAAATATTGTAAAAATAATAAAATCCAGGGAAACAGTCTACAAAATCCTCTCCGGTCATCAAGGAAAACATAACAATATAAAGGCAATATTTTCTGCCCTATACCAATATGTTTGTATAACTGGTGCTACTTCAGTATGCAGTCTACCGAGATATTTACACTGTAGCGTCTATTAACCCAACCTAACTTAATTTAACATATCTTGAGCCAACCTACCTATTAACCTAACCTAGGGTCGGTTAGGTTAGGTTGGTAATGGATGCCACAGTGTAAATATCTCTGTATACCAACTCCAGCTCGGTAGACCGCATACTATACAATGGTAGCTCTAGCTCGGTAGAACAGATACTAAAAGCTCCAGCTCGGTAGACCGCATACTATAGCTCCAGCTCGAGACCGCATACTATAGTAGCTCCAGCTCGGTAGACCGCATACTATAGTAGCTCCAGCTCGGTAGACCGCATACTATAGTAGCTCCAGCTCGGTAGACCGCATACTATAGTAGCTCCAGCTCGGTAGACCGCATACCATAGTAGCTCCAGCTCGGTAGACCGCATACTATAGTAGCTCCAGCTCGGTAGGCATCTATACCAGTAGCTCCAGCTCGGTAGACCGCATACTATAGTAGCTCCAGCTCGGTAGACCGCATACTATAGTAGCTCCAGCTCGGTAGACCGCATACTATAGTAGCTCCAGCTCGGTAGACCGCATACTATAGTAGCTCCAGCTCGGTAGACCGCATACTATAGTAGCTCCAGCTCGGTAGACCACATACTATAGCTCCAGCTCGGTAGACCATGCTCCAACAGTAGCAGTCGGTAGACCGCATACTATAGTAGCTCCAGCTCGGTAGACCGCATACTATAGTAGCTCCAGCTCGGTAGACCGCATACTATAGTAGCTCCAGCTCGGTAGACCGCATACTATAGTAGCTCCAGCTCGGTAGACCGCATACTATAGTAGCTCCAGCTCGGTAGACCGCATACCATAGTAGCTCCAGCCTGCAGCACATACTATAGTAGCTCCAGCTCGGTAGACCGCATACTATAGTAGCTCCAGCTCGGTAGACCGCATACTATAGTAGCTCCAGCTCAGACCGCATACTATAGTAGCTCCAGCTCTGTAGACCGCATACTATAGTCTAGCTCGTAGACCGCATATAGTAGCTCCAGCCTGCAGACCACATACTATAGTAGCTCCAGCTCGGTAGACCGCATAATATAGTAGCTCCAGCTCGGTAGACCGCATACTATAGTAGCTCCAGCTCGGTAGACCGCATACTATAGTAGCTCCAGCTCGGTAGACCGCATACTATAGTAGCTCCAGCTCGGTAGACCGCATACTATAGTAGCTCCAGCTCGGTAGACCGCATACTATAGTAGCTCCAGCCTGGTAGACCACATACTATAGTAGCTCCAGCTCGGTAGACCGCATACTATACAATGGTAGCTCCAGCTCGGTAGACCGCATACTATAGTAGCTCCAGCTCGGTAGACCGCATACTATAGTAGCTCCAGCTCGGTAGACCACATACTATAGTAGCTCCAGCTCGGTAGACCGCATACTATAGTACCCAGCTCAGACCGCATACTATAGTAGCTCCAGCTTGGT